GAGTCAAGTTTTCAGCAAATTCTGCCCACGGAGAAAAAGTCGGTCAGGAACTGGCCTGATTTCGGATGGCTGGGGCAGTAAAGGGTAAATAGTGCCCAAAAGAGAAATACGATCGCCCTCTCCCAACAACGAGCAGATCCCCCTCCCTTTATAGCGTCCGTGAAACAGAAAATCAGCAATCAAAAAAATTTTCTCGGGTAAAATACGACTCCCTCCCCCAGCGCCCAAGTACCACCGTCGCTGATGGGGAATCCCTAACGATGATGTACCTTGCTTGATGATCCCCACAATGAATTAGTCCAACGACGTACAACTCAATGGTTTCTTCTTTCCAGTTCCGAAACGCTTGTCTGGACCAGGCCCCCGACGGAAAGTCTCGGGCGCAGTTAGACGACAGGGTGAGGGGCATTTTGCACTTCGTTGCTTCACTAGTTCCGGTTTACAAGTCTCACTCTGGTGAAACCTGTGAACTCTTGTGAAGCTGGAGCAAGCTCGTCAAGCCATCATGGTAAAACCTGTCAACTCGAGAAGAGGCTGTCTAGATGGGTCGACACGTCGATGTGAAGCAGCAAAAGTGCGAAATGCCCCCCCCACACGTCGCCGAATTGCCCCGAACGCTCGATTAGCTAGTAAAGTGTTTATGAACAAAGCATTGTAAGTTATGGCACTGACCCAATACGAAAGCCATCGCTTGCACAGAATTTATGGGAATCAGCCGCATCTCGTGAAAATTGATCACCATCACTATCTCTTATGGAGTCTTTTGCAGCGTAATTGCTTCCGATTCCACTTCGTCTTCACTCCTCGGACCCAATCGGCACTGGTGCCCTGAACCTTGCCTTTACCCAGCGCCACAATTTCTGTTTTTTTTTGTCTGCCCTCTCGTAAACGTTTGGCTCATTCGCCAACTTCAACGCTATTTACTAACAAAATGGGTCACTTCATAGGAATATCTCTGTTCGTTACATGATCTAGAGGAAACCGCGTTGGATAAACCGCGACAGAGACGCAGAGGAGTGCTCTAATGGTCTATGGTCTCGCAGCGCTCACAGTCGTCTGGGGAAAAAGGTCGTCTGTAGACGCTTCAGTGGAATGTAGCTTTACAAAGCGATACTATTTCCGTCCCGCTGTTTCGATTCCCGGTCTCCCTAAGTGTGAATGTTCCCCACTTCCGCATCTTTATCACCGCTAAGTTGAGCACGTCATTTTATTGCAAAGCGTGCAATTACGACCCATCTCTGGGTGTGGTAATCTGATAAGGCGGTGACCTGTGATCTGGACGTGGGCTGTCATAAAAATGGGTCTGGGTGGCACTTTCTCATGGGACGCCCTTTAACGCTGCTCTATCTGTTCACAGTTATCACAAGGATGCTGAATTATGTGCATAACTCTCTGTCCAGGCCAAAATTCCAACCGGGAGCTCACGCTTTCTGGGCTGACCACTACAGGGTCGCCTTTTGCCCTCAGTTACAGCAGCTGGCTTCAGATTAGATTCTTGATAGCGCTATTTATTGCTAAGTTATGGTGAGTCCATTATGTGTTTGGTCCAACAGGGAAGCAATCTCATGGGCGGAATCTGTGTCTGCATTTCTTTCTCCTCCCCGTCTCAGAACGAGGGCATCAGCCAGAAGGGCCACTTACCGAGTGACTCTGCCCGTAGATCAACATGAAATGTGCCTTCAAGTCCGCATTAAAGCCACGGTTTAGCGCCATGTTCCATCTCTAACCATAAGTTTGCGAGCTTTTAGGCTCAAAGATAAGTTATCAGATGCACGCTACTTGCTGAAAGATGCTTGATTTCGAAAGTTGAAAACCATTTCCAGAAGACGTGCAATTACCACCCACCTCTCGAGAACTCTCGAGAAATTAGGAAAAAAGGGGATGTGGTAGGAATTTGGGCAATTTAGGGAGATGTTCCAGAAGTTGAAAACCCGGAATGTAGGAGGTTCGAGTTCGAGTCCCGGCTAAGGCAGAGCGTTTAGTCCATAATTGCTTCTTGCGATAACAAATTCCAAGCATTATGCCCAGGGCACGTCGCTCGTGAAGAATTCCCAGTAAGGAGGAGGGTAGTATCTGATGGTTGGGGAGGGAGGTATCGTACTGGCTTTTGAGAAGAATGTGTCTCTTTTGCTGACATCTCTCCGTTTTTCCCGTTTCACGCGCGAGATCCCCCTTTCTTCCTCCCACTCAATGAGAGTTTCTGGGAGAAAGGTGACTTTGGAAAAAAGGGGGATGTGGTAGAAATTTGGGTAATTTAGGGGGATGGTAGGTAAAACGTGGGATGGGGAAGGGGGAGTCGTGTCAGAGGAGGAATTAAGCGATAGGACATGTGCTGATTTTATCTTTCACAGTTCATCACAGTTCTTAATCTTGTGAATCGATGATTTTGTGTAGCTTAAATTCGGTGTTCCCTCCCCCCTTCCCCATGTACTGTGCCAGAGTAGAAGAAATGGTTCAACCATCCAAGTGGGATCGCATTTTACGCCAGGTTCGCTCTACACGGCGCCTTCAGCCACTGCGCCATCTCCAGGGCAACATTAGTTGGGGATTTTGCTCGAGTCTGTACGACTCCCACCCTTTTTTAGGGGGTTGGTGCCACCCCCTGGTTCCCTCCTCATTGATCTGCCGCGCAGGGAGGTATGCAGTAGACATGGAACAGTGAAACAGTAAAAATCACGAAAAGTCAGCAAACCCTCTCAGAATGTCAGAAGGGAAATACGGCGACTCCTGATCCCGTAATCCCCTCCCAACAACGAGCGACCGCCCCCCCCCTCCCTGGACAACGTCCCTGAAACAAGAGAAATCAAGTGTGAGAAAAAAGTTTTCTCGGCCCCAATACGACTCCTCCCCTGTAGGAGAACCCAACAACGATATGCCCTGGTCATCTCCGTACCCCTTTGAGTTGTCTAGCTTCAGAACTCATTGACGTGACTTCAATAATCCCCAGTTCCTGCAAAACGAAGGCGTCTGCTGATCTATTTGTTCTCGCTTTGCACTTTTTACAACCACCCGTTGCAAAACGCCAGGAATCTGTTTGTGCTGCCCTTTGAAGCCTGCCGCCTCAGCCTGCACTGCACAGCGCCCTTTCTGTTACTGTAGTCCTCTTCACTGAAATCCCTCTGGCACTGATGCAGAAAATTCGATATTTCGTGAGTGTGGACCTCTTCCTCTCCTTTGGAACACCTTAGACGAGTAATTCAATGCGAGGAGGGGGTGCCCAAGAAAGGCTGTATTCCTGAAGCATAATGGGCCAGCAAAGCTATGTCTTAAAACGCGTCTGCGATTTGTACAGTCATTGGTAGAGTACAACATACGTTGAAGATCTCCAGCAAGGTATTCGTTTGGCGGGAATGAGGGAGGGGGTATTAGCTTTCAAGTAAAATGTTTTCCATTGTTGACTCTTCTCGATTTTTCCCGTTTTATTCGAGCAAAATGAAGGAAAAACTCCGGAATCCCTCCACGGTACGACTCCCTTCTCCCTCAAAATCCTACACTTCTCCGACTGTTCCGAGAGTTTTCACAGTTGTTTTTTTTTCAGAAATCAGAGGTTAAGCGAGAGAAGGAAGGGGAGTTAGTCGTCATTAACCGTTATTGGATTTCAGCTATTAGAAACACTAATTGTACGATGGCATTTCTGCAGCCACCGG